TTATTAATCTCTTTGGATGAAAAAACAGCTACGCTTCCATCTGTTTTGGTTGCGAATGATTAAATGAAAAAAAAATGCACATGATGAAAAAATCAACAACAATACTTGATGCATTCTATCAGTTTGTATTTATACGTATATTAATATGTATAAGAAATTTTCTAGCTAAAATGTATCCAGCAAACAAGATTGCACACTTATTATGTAGAGATACAACTTCAACAGTACAAAAAGAAGTAGAGAGTTGATTGAAATATTATTCTCAATTTCGCACAGAAAAAAAGAATGGGTAAATCACCTTGAACAAATAGCACTTGTTAAAAAAATTTTCAACTGGTCGTTGATTTATGAAAAAACAATAGTTAGTCATCAAATTTGTCTAAAAACTCTATATTTTTCCTTGATGTTTTAAAAGGCAATGCACTTTGACACTCAGCTTATCTTTGCTTTTGTAATTACAATAGTGGCATTTGAAGATTTTGATGTATCCTGTAACATAAAAAAAAAGTAATATACAGCAACTACAAAATGAAATACATAAAAATTTGTCTATAACAGTAAAGATAGTGTAAGTATAGAAAAAATTTAATAAAAATTGTTTTAAAGATTTAGTCATTAATCTCTTATGTCCAATTCCATTTACAAATTCCAAGTAATATTAAAATAAAAAATACGTGTCACATATCACATTTCTCAGTACTACTACATGTGTATTAGTATTTGTAAATACGTATAATCAACTCATAAGGAATGAAATATTAAATTTTTTTTTGTTATCTTACCTTTTTTATGAATACTCCACAAGTGATTTCGCAAAGTTGCCTTGTCTTTGCTCTTATATTTACAATGGGCACAACATAGTTGGGGCTGTTTGTTACAAATGTATTTGATATGTCTATTCAAATGATGTTTGGTCACATATGATTTTTCACAACGACCGCATTTATTTGCTTTTTTCGGCTGTTTTGATGGTTTTACAACGAACAGTCCGTCTGAAAAAAATTACAATTAAGTAATTTTAATTTACGTAAATCAGGTTATAGTAGAAATAATAACAAAGAGTACTAAAAATAATAATAACCTTTTTCGTGGATACTCCAAATATGTTGAATCATTGCGATCTTATGTTTGCTTTTGTACTCACAATGCTCGCAATTAAATCGCCGTTTGTTGTTACATTCAAAAATTTTATGTCTAGTTAAACTTCTTTTGTATGAGTAAGATCTTTCACACTGATCACACGAATATAATAGTTTTTTTGGTAATTTTTTTGTGCTAAGTTTTCTTTTCTTTGCACGTTTCGATCTTCTCTGTTTTGATGGATGTCGTTTCGACGTGTTATCATTTGTCGACTCATTTTTTACTGCTGTACTTTTTTGTGATTCTAGATGTTTGGCTTTTTGCGTTGATGTAGCTAAAATCCGAAAAAATTCTGATATAAATATAGATAGTGAAGTCTCACAATCGAATTCAAGTGAAATATACCACAATACTCTTTTTATCGGAGCTCTACAAGCTAAAAAAAGTCTTTATGGGATTACAGAAAATCTGAACAATGCCAGTTCCCCAAAATGCTGTGAACTGTATTTTGCTTCGTTGGTCTCTAGAAACCCATGTTTTTTTTTTTCTTATTCGTACATAGTATCTAATATTTATGATAAGTAGTCCGAGTAAATAGTAATATTCGGGAGAAAAACAAATTATTTCAAGTACACATCATTGCATCTTATACTAGTCATATCCAATCTCACCTTTCATACGCTTCCTTTGTAAACGCTTGGGAGTTGTTCTGCCAGAACAAGCACTCCTGGATCGACGTCGTTGTTTACACTCGTAGTTGGAGTTTCTGTGTACCCATAATTCATTCTTCGANGTCTGCAAAAGTGAAGGAAAAAAAAAAAAAGGAAAAAAATCAAGTCCGAGACGAACAGTTGGAGGGGACAAACCGCGATGGCCCGTTTTGTTTTTCCAAGCTCAGCATCGTCACACCTCGAGACAAAGCTCCGGTGCGCGTACACGCGTGTAAGTACAGTTGGACAATCTATATTGTCGACGGGCGCATCTTCGGTAGCGCACATAAAGGCCCGATCGTTTCCGCATCGATTAAAAAACCAAGACGCGCGTCCGTTGTAGCGGCGGTAGCCGAAGAAAGAAAAAATACCCAAGAGCTTGTACTAAGAGTTAAAATTTTATCATTACTCACATTCTTGGTTGAAAATATTTTTAAAATATACAACAAATTCTCTTAATTTACTCTTAAAAGTTATAATTAATGGTTTTACTACTGTTGTTGCATTTTGATAAAGTTATGAAACCTCCTTCATAAATTATAAAGATATGTAGATGTAAATATGATTAGACTGGTATGTACACATATGGAATAAATGGTAAATTTTTAAAATAAAAATCAAGTTTTTTATTACAATTTTCTCTAATGTATTTACTCATATCGACACGGATCTTGCATTTACTAAAATAAATATAGTCATTATGATTCTTGATTGCATCGTAAAATTAGTTTTCTCTTTTTTAATGCTGTGAATCCACGTTTCTCAATGAATCATCTACATTCAACAAATTCAGTTTTGAAGAAGCTGACAGCCCAATATCTAAAAAGTTATGAAAAATTAGATACGTCAACAGTGTTAATAATTAAAAAAGCAATAAATGACACGACATTTAAAAAAAAAGTTGTTTATTTGTATAAGGATTGGGTGAATAAAAAAATACTGACATTTAGCTTGTGGTGAAATTTTAATTTATTATTACTCATTATAAAATTAAAAAAATCCAAATTAACACTTGTGATGACGCTTTTAAAAACCATCTGCCTTAAAAAAGTAACTGCACACGTTTCGGTTTCATGGGCGTAGATATATATGCGTATTGGTGACTCTTTTCTAATTCCATTTGCGTGTCATCGTTTTGTAGATTTCTTTCTTTACTTTAGAGTAACCCGGATAAGTCGAAATTCCTCGAAACTATATCTTACACACTTTATGTACCTTCCAACCATACCTCACGTACTTTATGTACCCTCCGACCCCTGGATAGAGCGAACGCGCGATCGCCGTGAAATAAAAGATAAACTGTCGGTCGATCAAACGAAAAAAGGAGGAGGGGGAAATTGATATTTGAGGGGTGGGGGTGGAAAAAGAGGGAGGGAGGGAGGAAAAAAAAGAGAGAGAACTGATTGATACATCGGTTTAAGTTTAATGGAAAGCCGAGTTATGGGCGCGTGCTCGGGGGAACCGAGAGGACGTAAAGTGACAAGGAATTTGAGGAACGAGAAAACTTCTTGATGAACAAAAGGATGGAAGGTTGGCTGTGGTGGTTGGGGGATGGGGGTCGTACGTAAAAGACGAAGTTTTTAAGGTTAATTCGGTGGGTGGGGGAATTCCCGCGAAGAGGGTGGCGAGAGGCTGTAAAGAAGTTTTTTAATGACCCGAGAACGGCGGGGAATTCATACACAGCTGTGATACAGGACTACGGGGTGTGAAACGGTGGGCGCGTAAAAAAAAAACGAAAGGGGATTAATCAACGCAAAATACGGGTGGTAAAATGAAAAATGGCAGTGCTCTGTTAAAATGGCAAAATTCAGCAGTTGCGTGGAAAAAAAAAAAAAAAAAAAAAAAAAAAAAAAAAAAAAAAAAACAATAAATATTTTGTTTATAATTACATCAAGTACAACAACATCATTGCACAAAGCATTGCCTCATTATAACAACAAGCACAAAATAAATAACAGTAAAAATAATGTCAGAGTCGCATATTAATTATAAGTATTTTTTCAATTTGAACTCAAACTTTTCATTTTGTTGTAGCAAAGATGATTTCGGCAAAACACTGTAAAGTTACTTTTTCATAAAAAAGTATATATGTATATATATATA